GGTTAACAGAATTCCTTATCCGGATTTCTGGTACGCAGATTGTAATATGGAGTCATCCTTTTCCTTGATTCGGGATTAAAATTGGTGACTTGGGACACCCTAAACCTTCCAAGTGGCGACTCTGAAATAAACAAACAAATCCGGTTTCGATTGTCCTTTAATTGGAAAAAACTCCCTTGTACCCTCGGGTATGTAAAAAGGAGGTGTGACAGTGACAAACAACCAAAGGTCAGAACAGAAAAACATTTACCAGATGGAACCTTCGGCTCAAAGCGTTTCATGAAAGCGGGCCAATCTCGAGTCTCCATTTTGTGAGGTAGCAAACGGGCTACCCAGTCCTCGATACCAACGACGGGACAAGGTGCGCGCCTCGCAGCTGCACGAAAAGGTTACAAATAAGCACAAAATTGGAAAAAATGAAAGTAAACTACGAATACCAACACCTACGGTTGTGATTCCACCATTCTGGGAATCCAGCGGGGTCCGACACCAGATGCTCGGTTCTAACGAAGAAGTATCTATGCCAAAATTTGTGGCTTGCCCGGTCATCTGTCCCGACCACCAGCCCTTTGGTCCCGCAATGCCTTAAGTGTATCATAGTACCCTTGTGAAAATAGGGGAAAACAAGTGTAAAAGGTGATGAAGGCCGACTTTACACCCTGCCAACTCCGCGTATTTCGTCAATAACAGAAATATCTTGTATGTATACGGAGATAGTTGTGCTGAGCAGATTTCATAGAACTGACAAAATTCCTCCGCTAACGGAAGAAGAGGGAAGGAATGGCCGATCACAAAAGGGTACACATAAAAATCACAATACCCCGATCTGTGGACGTCCACGAAGTCCCTCCCAGGTGGAACTAACTCAATATAAGAGGGAACGTTATACGTAGAACGGAGGTCATCTATGTGAGCCTGTTCAGCCTCAGAAACCACCAGAGCAGGAGAAGGGATAAGTTCCTTAAGAAAATTATTCCGAGACATGGGGTTTCTCGGTAATATCTCCTCCATGGTGCGAAGACTGTCCCCTTCTTCTACTGCCATATCGTCACCACAAGAGGGAGGTGCCATAGATAGCGGGGTGGCGTCGGAAATCTCTTCGTGTGACCGATGTGCTCTAGGCATCTCGATGAAAGAAGGTATATTGATAAAACACAGAGCAAAGAACGGTGAACAGAAGAAGGCGAGAAGAAAGATCACGAAAACAGAGCTGGAGATACGAAAAGAAATGGCTAAAGAAGACAACACATACACTAGAGAGGAAATGACCAAAAGTTCTTGAAAGAAGTCTATTTATAAGGTGGTGTGGCGCCAGAATCAAAGCAAAAAGCTGCCAGAAGGCGCCAAAACCAAAGCGACAAGCCAATTGGTCTCTGCCTCGGGAAGACACGCAATGATGATGCACGTGGGAGTGACATCATCTCCCGTTAAGCTACACTATCTAGAATACCGTGGAATGCACCACTCTTTCATTAGTAATCAAACCATTACAACCCAACCGCCAAATTTCTCCGCGGGTATGGACGACATCCGCTTATCAAGGACGTACTGGGCTGCGACCTCAACAAGTGGAAGGATTAACTGTATGGGTCCAAATTTGGCAACCATGACCATTACCAAGTAGGACAAGGAACGAGGTTGTCATGATGCACCGTCTGGTGGTCGTCGTGGTGAAAGGCAACGATTGAGGGCGGTTAGTCGACGTATGATATCCATGACAGTGTAAACTTAGTAGGAGACAACAAGAATATACCTTTTGAATATTCTCTATATTGTACTTTCTAGGGTTTTCTGGGAGATTGTCCCTTATAAATAGGAAGGGTGAGTAAAGAAAAAGAGGAGACGAGAAAAAAGATAAAAGAACACTTTGTAAAAGAATCCTCTAAAAGTGAATACAAAAGCAGTCTTATTCATCTGAAAAGAGAAAAGATTCCCCAATCATCTCATATTTATTCCCCATTTAATGCCGATTGTACCGTTCAAGCTTGATTGTGCATTTAAGTCTTCGTATTCGTGAGCATTCATTTGATTCCAATATATTTGTTACATCATTCATCTTGCTTACTCTCTTCATCACTTGATCTAGATTTTATTGTGTTTAACTAAGATTGACCTCATCTTTATCTTTAGTTATTTTAATCATAAAGGTTTTGATATATTTTGGTCAAACACTTACTAAGGAATTATGAATAAATCTAATAATAAATATTAATTGACAATATTATAAAAATGATAAGTAATATGTCATAAATAGGTTAAAATTTCTTGACATGTTAATGTATATAACTTAAATTTGGTCAAAAATATATTTGGGCTGACCCCTTTTCTCTGTAAAAATTGCACGGATCGCCCTATTTGGTCGCCCCTATTTAAGTAAAAATTGTGTGGGGTAGCCACTTTTTAAAGTGATATTTACTTTTTATCCAGCATTTTTAATGCTGAGCAAAAGTAGTCATTAGTCTATTAAAATTAATTTGAAAAAACGGTGTTACCCTTTTTTCTGTCTCTTTTCTGTCCATGTTCTCTTCCTTGCCAGTATACCTCCATGGCTTTGACCCCGCCGCACAGTAGTGAACAAATTTCACCTTCTCAAGTTCCACATTATCTGAGTGACGCCACAACATAGCTAATATCAAGTTGTACTTGTTTGGAATTAGCTTGTATACATCTCTGAAGAACATGTTCAACAAATCCTACAAAATAAATCCAACTCTATAAACATACAAAAAGTATTAAATATTTATACTGAATTCACAGGTAGTCCTGAACTTAGAGTTACAAGTTCAAAAGTTAAGGACAGGTAGTCCTAAACTTAGAGTTACAAGCTCAAAAACTAAGGACAGGTAGTCCTTAACTTAGACTTACAAGCTCATAAATTAAGAACAACTAGTCCTGAACTTACAATAACAAGCTCATAAGTTAAGGACACTTGGTCCTGAACTTAGAGTTGGAAGTTCAAAAATTAAGGACATTTGGTCTTTAAATTTGGGCGAAGTTCTCTGCAATCCGCGTAGGTTTCAGCAAATTATAGCAGAAGGTTATTTTCGTCCGGACGGGTAAAAGTTTATTAAAGCAGTGGCTAAAGACTAAAGACATTTAAACAATGGCTGAAAAGTAAATATATGTCTTATTACTGGCTAACTGTGTACTTCCCCCCCTCCATTTAACCTATACCCATATTCTTAAAATTATTTAACCTATACCCTAATTTTTACAACTTCAGGCGTCTTCTTCTTCCTGCTACTTGTGCGCTCCTTTCTTTTCATCATCATCATCATCATCATCATCATCATCATCATCATCATC